CTCCGTGGGATGTTCAGAGTTTCAGATATTTATTTTATAACCCAACCCTGATCTTTACTTCTCCACAACTTTGTCCCTGACCTGTTTGGAGAGCTCCTTGGTCTTCATGGTGCAGCTTGCTTGGTGGTGCCCCTTGCTTGGTAGTGTTGCAGACTATGGGACCTTTCAGAACAGGTGTATATATACTGAGATCATGTGACACTTAGATTGCAGACAGGTGGACTTTATTTAACTAATTATGTGACTTCTGAAGGTAATTGGTTGCACCAGATCTTATTTAGGGGGTTCATAGCAAAGGGGGTGAATACATATTCACGCACCAGTTATTTTTGAACGCACCATTAGTGCAACCAATCTGATTGTTTGGGGCATCTTGAAAACACCTTGTCCGGAGAAGACAAGGTCAGCGCTACCATCAGTCCTGTGTCATGCCAACAGTAAAGCATCCTGAGACCATTCATGTGTGTGGTTGCTTCTCAGCCAAGGAGTGGGCTCACAATTTTGCCTAAGAACACAACCATGAATAAAGAATGGTACCAACACATCCTCCGAGAGCAACTTCTCCCAACCATCCAAGAACAGTTTGGTGACGACCAATGCCTTTTCCAGCATGATGGAGCACCTTGCCATAAGGCAAAAGTGATAACTAGCGGCTCGGGGAACAAAACATCGACATTTTGGGTCCATGGCCAGGAAACTCCCCAGACCTTAATCCCATTGAGAACTTGTGGTCGATCCTCAAGAGGCGGGTGGACAAACAAAAACCCACAAATTCTGTCAAACTCCAAGCATTGATTATGCAAGAATGGGCTGCCATCAGTCAGGATGTGGCCCAGAAGTTAATTGACAGCATGCCAGGGCGGATTGCAGAGGTCTTGAAAAAGAAGGGTCAACACTGCAAATATTGACTCTTTGCATAAACTTAATGTAATTGTCAATAAAAGCCTTTGACACTTATGGAATGCTTGTAATTATACTTCAGTATACTATAGTAACATCGGACAAAAATATCTCATAACACTGAAGCAGCAAACTTTGTGAAGACCAATACTTGTGTCATTCTCAAAACATTTGACCACGACTGTACTGTATGTGACCAATCACCTTTTATTTGATTTATATAACTACTGCTGTACATACCTTTTCCTACTATTGTCCATACTGTCTCTACACACCACATATTTATATTCCGGACTATGACGTTGCTCGTTCTGATATTTCTTAATTTCTTATTTTGTTCTTTTCTTTTTTTTTTTATCTTTTTTTGTGGAAATTAGTATTGTACTGTCAGACACTTACTGCACTCCTGGAGTTAGAAACATAAGCATTTCGCTGCACCTCCATTAAAATGTGCAAATCTGTGTACGTGACAAAAAAACGTTGATTTGATTTGATTTTGACAGAGCTGGAATCAATACCTATCACAAAGCATTGCAACTGTTTAGTCATAATCCCCTCTGTGTATAAATACATGGGCTACTCATTTCCATGAAACAGTCAAACAAATCGACAGCACTTTGGTTGATCCTGCTGCCATATATAAGTCGGAATTAAAATCAGCTGTCCTGCGATGCATCAGTAGGCCTAGTTCTCAAGTGTCAGAAATCACAACCGACAACCTCCTTGTTGCCTGGTACAACAGGCAACCATAAACGGGAGATAGGCCTACTTGCTTCTAGACAAAAAAAATGCAGAAGCATAACAATCAATTTTAGGCCTGCAAGTTTGCTGCAACTCTACACATTTTGTAATGGGGTGCAGAGAAGATATAGCAATGTTATAACTAATTTCATGCAATTCTTCCTAGCGGCCATGGGCCCCAAAATGGTTGCTTATGTCGCTTATGCCTAAGGCCGGCCCTGCGCACATACACAAAAGCAAACCATGCACTTAAGCATGCGACAACCCAATCAGAGTGGTAGGATCAGATGGTGATACACTGGTCTATGTATAGTTGGCAGGATCCTGCTATTTTGTGGCGGATATGATTGCATTCCTTTCATCAACTGCAGGGCTTAACATTGTCTGCAGTTAATATTCTAATCAGGCCGCGGGGGCCTGCTGTTCTCAGGCGGCAGCATGTCTGCAATACCTTTCTCATTACCAGCCAACAAAGATCTGAAATACAGGGTGAATACAACCCAGGGCCGGCTCCAGGCATAAGCCCAGGCTGCTAGTCCAAAAAAATTACAAACTTTCTGTTGAGAGTTACAAAGGTAGAATACACAAGGTGCAAGTTTGAAAATTGGTTGTGCATCAGCAATTTTTCTCTTGTTATGTCAGTCACTGACAATCATTCAATTAGCCATGTCAGCTAACAATTTTCAGAATGGTAAGTTAGTATAGCCAGCTATCTAAACTTGTAGTAATCGTGGCCGAATAACGACCGGGAACGTGCCCAGAGGCCCTGACCTCCAGGTGACCCCATTGATTTTGTTGGTCACTCTCACTCAGATATAATTAACATGACATAAGTCATGGAAAAATGTGTAGAATTGCAGGAAATGTGTTTTAAAACTGAAACAATTTCTCTCCACCCCATGGCAAAATGAGTAGAATTGCATTAAATGTGTTATAAAATTGCAAAAGAAAATCTGCCCCATGGCAAAATATGTAGAACTGCAGAAAACTTGCTTTAAAACTGCAACATTTTCTCTACACCCCATGGCAAAATGTGTAGAACTGCAGGAAATTAACTTTAAAACTAACATGTCTCTCCGCAGTCAAGAGGGGGGCCACTAAAATGTTTTGCCCGTGAGGTGAGGTGGGGGGTTAGGGCCCCCAAAAGGCTAGAGCAGGCCCTGACACAACCAACCGAACTGCTTGCAAAACCAACCCACTGGATAATTTATCAAGGCTCCATCATAGTCAGAAAATAGTAAAATACAGAGTTGCATTCATTTGGACAACTTCCTCCACTTGCTATTCATTGCTGGCTGTTGTCAGTTGAAGTTACTGGCACAAGATAACAATGCCCAGCCCCCAACAGTAAGACTGGGCAGGGTCTTGGCAGAACACAGTGCTTGTAACGCCAGGATAGTGGGTTCGATTCCCGGGACCACCCATACATAAAATGTATGCATACATGACTGTAATTTGCTTTGGATATAAGTGTTTGCTAAATGGCAATATTATATTATGGTGAGACCTGATAAGGAAAGTGTTTGTCCTCACCTGGCACAACACACAGCCCACTAGCACAATGTGTTATCACAGAACAGCTGCTGGATCATGACCTACAGTACCAACACCGCTGGAAAGTTCAACATCATAAGCATTGGATAAGGGAGACCACCAGGGTGCATGTGTGTGTCTTCTATTTAGGGGTCCCAGTGACGGGCAGGAGGGACAATGGGAGGCTGAGTTAAATACTCTGGTGCATTCTTCCCCCATCACTCTGAGCCTCTACTGGGCATCTCCAACCTCAGCAGAGAAAGGTAAGACTGGGCTCCTCTCTCAATGTGATATTGTGTAGACAATGCTTAGAGCTTTTCTGTATTTCTTGAATTTGAGATTTTCAGGTCTGATAATTGCAGAACATTAACTATTTCGAAAACATCTCACATAATTTTAGTTTCTATTTACAGATGCACAAAATTAAACTGCAATCAGTAGCAAATCTAAATAAATACAATTTTTAGGATAGGCCTATTAGAGAAATCTGGAATAAAAGTATACGTTTTCCATCTTCTTTTTGAATTTTTTTACAATTCATTTGATTAGAAAATGTATTTAGCAATTTCAGGTTTCCAACTGATTTCTAATGTTTATTTTGCTCTATTCAATTGTCTTTTCTTTTGGGGCATTTGACTGTGGTACACATGACATTAAATCCCAAAATAAGAATAAGATTATTTTCTAAGATTATTTTCAGAGATTGTTTTACAGTTTTTTTTTGTTTGATCAGTTATTTCTATAAAGTATTCCACATTGGTTTCAAATTACTAATCATTTACGCTGGATTCCCATGTAAACTGGACACTGCGACATTCCTTTACGGAATTGGCAATTCTCAAAAATTACTTCCCAAATCCCGACCTCCTGGTCCCTTTCAAGAGAAGGGAGCCAGGTCTATTTGTGGAGCATTATCCAGTGGAAATGAGCAGGAGAAAGCTAGGATTGTTATCTGTCTGGAATAATTACCATGCCAGGGCTGATGCACGTCTCTCCCCCTGTCTGCAATCACTTTCTTTTTTGGGGGAGTGCCACTGTCAGCAGAGAGAGGCAGCAGGGGGATGGGTCGCAGGCCCCAGGCTCCATACCAGAGGGTCAGATGTAGAAGTGGGGACTGGTGATGTAGACCACTTGGAGCCCTGAGCGACCACTTGACCTACTGATAATGTACTGTAGTAGTTGGAGAAAAACAACCCATGGCTAGATAGTAAACAACTATGACCGAAGGAATGAATAACAAAAAAATGCTATGCTTTAGGTGTTTTTCAGTCATGAGTATGATAGATAATTTTCATAAAGTTGACAATGTACTGTAGAATCATTCAATTACTTTGTATTGCATATCAGTACATTGAAAGCTATGATGATGTATCAAGGGAACTGAAATGGGAGACCTAATTACTGTAGGCTTACAGGTGAAAATGGTCTCTCTCGTCAAGTTCTTCAGAAACATACGTTTTATTTTTGTCTTCTAGGGGAATCTACATTGCCAAGATGCCTGAGCAAGTGTAAGTGTATCGTGTTTCTGTTTACTTTTCCAGCCAACCCCTTCATGAGAAGGGTCAGACAGCACATGCCAGTTATCTTTAGAAACACTAACAATGACTGCCTGATAAATTCTGTGTGCCACATTGGGAAGTATTTCAAATCCTGTATCTCTTATGCTAAATGATGTTTACACTAAAATATATATTTTTTTTCTTTACAGACAAGAGGTGAGATTTCCCTAATTCTATTGCATAAATGTTGATAAACACTGATTAAGTGAGACATTAATTATACTGTCAATCTATGACTAACTTAATCAAATTGATGAATCTTTTTGAAGCGAAAGTCGAAGATCTCGGCCTCCCGTAAGCTCATGCTAAAGGTGAGTCTATAGCCACACTATGACCACAGCAATAACACTTGACTGTTTGGCAACTACCTCAGTCATATGAGGCCATACGCTTGAAATACTTAAATGTGTTATCAGAGCTTAATGGTGGCCAAGGCGAAGGAAGAGATCGAGCAGGAGTTTGTGGATAAAGAGGAGGAGAAGGAGAGGTATCTGGCAGTGAGAGCACCTCCCTTACAGACCGGTGGTATGTCCTTTGCTGAGCTCCAGGTACTCCTATCCATACACACATTCAGTAAACCTATTGACTACATTGTCCTGGGTACTAGTTCATTGCTAATTCTAATTTCCCCAACAGAAGTTATGTCGGGAGTTACATGCCAAGGTTGACGTGGTGGATGAGGAGCGATACGACATTGAAGCCAAAGTCAAACACAACACCAGAGAGGTACAGTAGTCTACATGGTGCTGCTTGAAACATACCTTCTAAATGTGGTTCATTTAGCCACGACATGGTCAACTCCAAGGGCTAACGTTAAACATGGTGTAATCTGAGATGCCTGTTGTGTAGCCCATAGAGAAAGAATCCATTTTAGTTGTATCTCTATGATGGTCTACCTCTTCTTTCCACCTGTCCCACAGATCAAGGACCTGAACATAAAGGTTTTGGACCTGAGGGGGAAGTTCAAGCGGCCCAACCTGAGGAGGGTAAGGGTCTCTGCTGACGCCATCTTGCGCTCCCTCCTGGGCTCCAAACACAAAGTCTCCATGGACCTTCGGGCAAACCTCAAGTCAGTCAAGAAGGAAGACACAGAGAAGGTAAGTTTAGTTTTACGTGGTAGATTTAGTGGGTCATCATCAGATCAAAGGCAGCAGGCAATAGTGTGATGCAACGATGAGTTTTGCTATGTTTATGAGCTTTATTTCAAATGTCAATATTTCCCTCAACCAGAGGTAATCTATATATAAATGACAGGAGCGAACAGTTTGTTTTTGTAACTTGAAGCTGACCAGCCGTAGGGGCTGATATACTAACACACTGACATCCTACTGACATGACAGTGACTGCCATTGTGTGTGTGCTCTGCAGGAGAAGACAGTGGAGGTGAGTGACTGGAGGAAGAATGTGGAGGCCATGTCTGGCATGGAGGGAAGGAAGAAGATGTTTGACGCAGCCAAAGGCCCCACTCAGTAGACAGAGAATACTCAACATTTGGTTATCCTGCTTCATGTTTCTTTCATTTCTATTAATCCTGGACATTCAAAATGTGTTAATGCTTTGCATTTGTGTCTCTACTTCTTATTTCAGTGGCAATACAATGATTGTGTGTATTGTTTAGCAAGGCTTACACAGGACAAGCTGAATGCTGCTACAATCACAATGTTCTGCTTTATCCTTACTGTTAATATTTGCCTGAGAAGAAATGATAGAGTAAATTATAGTTCATGCAATTCCACTCATTTTGCCATGGGGCAGAGAGATAATTTTGCAGTTTTAAAGCTAATTTGCTTGCCTGACGACTCATCCTGAATTACATTTAGCTGCTCTATCGATAGCTTCATACATTGTCTGAAACTGCCATCCTAGAAGTCGATTGTGCTGATGCCAAAATGAGGGGCGTTGTACAAAACAAATTAATCAGCGATTGGATCGTCTCCAAGTAATCAGAGTATCAAAGTTGACAAGGTCATCATGCAGGCCAGGTCTGGCTCGACGCTTTCTGGGACCAATCAGAAAGGTCAGAATGTGTTCGCATTCTACAAGATGTCAGGGAGGAAAGCAAATCCAGACTCATCGTGAAGAAGAAACGCTAGTAGTCAGGCTACTAATTTGCTGCAATTCTACACATGTTACCATGGGGTGGAGAGACTGACAAAATCAATGGGGGTCCGCTGGAGGTCAGGGCCTCTGGGCACATGCCGTGCGTGCCCGGTTAGTAATTTGGACATGATTAGACCTACTTCAAGGTTTAGATTGCTAGAAGTTAGTCTAGCCAGCTATCTAAAAATGTTAGCTGGCATGGGCTAATTGAATGACAGTCAGTGACTGACATAACAAGAGGAAAACTGCAGATGCACTACCAAATTTCAAAATTGTTGTGGGCCCCTAACGGCCACTTGTGTCACCTATTGGCTGAGCCGGCACTGAAAGTAAGCCAGTCTTACTTTAAAGCTGTAGATGCTGTAGATGTTTTGCTGGCTCAATTGTGGCTGTAGTATTCTACTTTAATCAAATTATGATTATGAAGGCAAATGTGTTAATTAGTTAATCAAACTATTGTTGAAGACATCCACTCCTAAATGATAACTGCTTTGACAATAAAGTAATATACCATCCACACAACTTTACAATCATGGTGCTCTAACAAAATTAACTACAAGATCAGAAACAAACATTTAATATAAAATAAAAATGAAACATAAAACCAATTATAAACCAGGTAGTTTGGGTCCTGGATGCTGATTATCTAAAACAGCATTCCAGCCGTGTGTATATCAGACAATACACCATGTGTATGACGCAAAACGACTTGTTTACTGTTATATTTATGTTGGTAACTAGTTTATAATAGCAATAAGGGTATGGTATACCACTTTGCTTTGTGTCTAAGAACAGCCCTTAGTGTGGGGTATATTGGCCAATATATCACACCTTTTCTGGCCTCTGGGGCGGCAGGTAGCCTGGCGGGGAGGAGCGTTGGGCCAGTAACTGAAAGGTTGCTGAATCGAATCCCCAAGATGACAAGGTAAAAATCTGTCGTTCTGCTCCTGAGCAAGGCAGTTAACCCAGTGTTCCCCGGGCGCTGATGACGTGGATGTCGATTAAGGCAGACCCCCTCACCTCTCTGATTCAGAGGGGTTGGGTTAAATGCAGAAGACACATTTCAGTTGAATGCATTCAGTTGTACAACTGACTAGGTATCCCCCTTTCCCTTTTTGCTTAAATATATAACAACCTTACTCCACTGATCAGACAGCCATACTGTAGGACATGATTATACATACATGAACAAACATGGACTCAAACATGGCAAAATAAACATAGGTTCACATTGTCTTGAATAGACACATGATATTCCCTGGTACGCCCAAGCTCCCTCTTGGTTAAGGGCAAGGGGATATTTCTCGACAGGGCCCACCTCAGTCACATTGCAGTAACTGCAATAGCAGCTATGTGAAGCTAGAGGACAGTGTTACCTCTGTGCTGAACTCAAACACAGTCTAGTATGAGCAATGCTGTACTCTCTTAGAAGAAAATGTGTTTTCTAGAACCTAAAAGGGTTATTTGGCTGTCCCCATAGGAGAATCCTTTGAAGGACCATTTTTGGTTCCAGGTAGAACCCTTTTGAGTTCCATGTAGAGTACACAGATGGTTCTACATGGAACCCAAAATAATTCTACCTGGAACCAAATAGGGTCCTACCTGGAACCAAAAACTGTTCTCCTATGGGGACAGCCGAAGGACCCTTTTGGAACCCTTTTTTCTAATAGTGTAGGATGGTCTGTGTTCAGATTTCCATTCAAAGGTGTGGTAGGCCTGACAATGTTGCATTAGTAGCTAAGAGGAATGTATTAACTGTGGGTCACATCCTTACTTGAATTGTCTGGAACTGGGACTTTGTCATTGTATGGATATTTCTATGAAGAGATGGATTTCAAGTCAGGATTTGGCTCTGTGAGTTCTCAAGTCCTTCAACAGAGGTATGGGGGATATGCATTATCACTAGATAATATCACTTGTATCTAGTTTAGCATTTAACCTAATTATAAGGGTATGAATGCATGAGGACAGTTTTATTCATGAAGGTTATTATAAAGTGTTACCAATTCAGTTACAAAGGCAAGGGGATTGTTTTTCTACAGCCACATTGCTTTAGGTGTAACAATTCTCTGGAAAAAAGGTGTGACAGTTCTCGAAGTACCCTTCGGACACCGGTTATTCCGTAAAAATTGCCAGTATGTTGTGTGTTATTGCTTACAGTCGTGGTCAAAAGTTTTGAGAATGACACAAATATTAATTTTTACAAAGTCTGCTGCCTCAGTTCTTATGATGGCAATTTGCATATACTCCAGAATGTTATGAAGAGTGATCAGATGAATTGCAATTAATTGCAAAGTCCCTCTTTGCCATGAAAATGAACTTAATCCCCAAAAAACATTTCAACTGCATTTCAGCCCTGCAACAAAAGGACCAGCTGACATCATGTCAGTGATTCTCTCGTTAACACAGGTGAGAGTGTTGACGAGGGCTGTCAGATGGGGTGATGTGTATGCGGCGGTGAAGTCAGGCGCAGGACACAGAGGATCAAGATGACTACTTTACTTCAAGTAAACACGCACAAAACAAAAGTCTCCACAACACTGGAGGAGGAAACACGCGCTGTGCGTAAAAGGCGAACTAGAATTGCCGAACATCAAACAGGACAAAATGACAATAACACACAAAGGCCAAACGTAAAACAAGGGAACTTATATGTTACACAATCAACACAAAATAAGTAACAGGTGTACAAACTAGACAACACAAGACAAACACCGAAACATCGATCGGCAGTAGCTAGTACTCCAGGGACGACGAACGCCGAAGCCTGCCCGAGCAAGGAGGAGGAGCAGCCTCGGCGGAATCCGTGACAGTACCCTCAAGCCAATGCCTCCACACCTTTAGGGCTTGGACCACAACTAGCAGCTCCCTGTCCCCCACGTCGTAATTATGTTCCGCCGGGCTGAGCTTCTTAGAGGAAAAAGCACAGGGCCGGAGTTTAGGAGGCGTGCCCTGAGCGTTGAGACAGTACAGCCCCAATACCAGCCTCTGACGCGTCCACCTCCACTTGGAACGCCAAAGAGGGGTCCGGATGTGCCAGCACCGGAACCGAGGTGAACAGGTCCTTCAGTTGTCTAAACGCCCTGTCCGCCTCAGCCGACCACTACAAACGCACCGGGCCCCCCTTTAGCAGGGAGGTGATGGGAGCTGGTACCTTTCCAAAACCCCGGATAAACCTGCCCGAGCAAGGAGGAGGGAACTTATATGTTACACAAAAAAACAAGGGAACTTATATGTTACACAATCAACACAAAATAAGTAACAGGTGTACAAACTAGACAACACAAGACAAACACCGAAACATCGATCGGCAGTAGCTAGTACTCCGGGGACGACGAACGCCGAAGCCTGCCCGAGCAAGGAGGAGGAGCAGCCTCGGCGGAATCCGTGACAAGGGCAAGGCTGGAGATCACTCTGTCATGCTGATTGAGTTAGAATAACAGACTGGAAGCTTTAAAAGGAGGGTGGTGCTTGAAATCATTGTTCTTCCTCTGTTAACCATGGTTACCTGCAGTCATCATTGCTTTGCAAAAAAAGTGTTTCACAGGCAAGGATACTGCTGCTAGTAAGATTGCACCTAAATCAACCATTTATCGGATCATCAAGAACTTCAAGGAGAGAGGTTCAATTGTTGTGAAGAAGGCTTCAGGGCGCCCAAGAAAGTCCAGCAAGCGCCAGGACCATCTCCTAAAGTTGATTCAGCTGCGGGATCGGGGCACCACCAGTGCAGAGCTTGCTCAGGAATGGCAGCAGGCAGGTGTGAGTGCATCTGCACGCACAGTGAGGCGAATACTTTTGGAGGATGGCCTGGTGTCAAGAAGAGCAGCGAGGAAGCCACTTCTCTCCAGGAAAAACATCAGGGACAGACAGATATTCTGCAAAAGGTACAGGGATTGGACTGCTGATGAATCCCCTTTCCGATTGTTTGGGGCATCCAGAAAAAAGCTTGTCCGGAGAAGACAAGTTGAGTGCTACCATCAGTCCTGTGTCATGCCAACAGTAAAGCATCCTGAGACCATTCATGTGTGGGATTGATTCTCAGCCAAGGGAGTGGGCTCACTCACAATTTTGCCTAAGAACACAGCCATGAATAAAGAATGCATCCTCTGAGAGCAACTTCTCCCAACCATCCAAGAACAGTTTGGTGACGACCAATGCCTTTCCAGCATGATGGAGCACCTTGCCATAAGGCAAAAGTGATAACTAAGTGGCTCGGGGAACAAAACATCAACATTTTGGGTCCATGACCAGGAAACTCCCCAGACCTTAATCCCATTGAGAACTTGTGGTCATTCCTCAAGAGGCGGGTGGACAAACAAAAACCCACAAATTCTGACAAACTCCAAGCATTGATTACGCAAGAATGGGCTGCC